CCCTAGCCCTAGCGTAGGCAGATGAGGTGGATGGCACCCCTAAATGCATCACGATTTCTCACCCCTGGAGGGGCCCAGACAGAGCGCCACAGTAAACCTGGGCAATCCTGGAGCCCAGGGCGGCCGCAGGGGAGGAGTTACAGCCAGGCAGTGCTGACTGAGAAGAGATCTCTGAAGAGCTCTAGCCAGAGGGGAACTCCACATCACCTCATAGCTCTGAGCTGCACAGCGTCCTAGCCAGGGAAACAGGCTGTCTCAGTCTGAAGTGAAGGAAGTCCCCCCTGAAGGGAGGCAGTTCCACATCAAGAAAACACTACATCAGTGGGCACCAGCCTCTCCCTGACCTGCCTTCCCAGCCTCAGAACACTCAGAGCTCCTCAGAAAAGCTTCCTTTATCACCTAACCCAGGCTGATAGGGCTTTGGGGCCTGAGGAGTAGGGAGCGGAGAAGACAAGGAGGTGGTCAGCAAGCAAGGAAGTAGGCTGTCAGAGCAAGAAGACAGAGACAGAAGACCATGGGAGAGTGTCTAGGAGAGAGGCCCAGGAGAAATGGCCTCGGTGTGGAGGGTCACAGCCAGCCACCACTGGGGCAAGGCATGTCGCCACTTCTCTCTGCACCTGGGAGGCGAGGGTCAGAGATAGCACAGGGCTCTGACCTTAGACAGGACATGGGATAGAGCAACTGCTGGGTCCTTACCCCTTCCCCCACCTCGGCAGCTTCAAATGCTACACTGAGGCCCCTCTGACCCTGTTGCTATGGCAACTGGCCTGCAGCTGGAGTGCAAGAGCTTCAGATTTTCCTCCAGAGATACCCCCATCTCCACCCACGCACAGGCTCCCAGGGACACGGAGGCCAGGCCAGGACAGTCAGAGGTCTAGGGAGACAGATAAGCTTGGAGATAGAGGCCCAGAGGGATGGAGAGGTACCCAGGGAGAGGGAGAGAAGTGTGGAGGAAAGGAAGAGATTGATGCAGGAAGAAGGAAATAAAGGCCAGGGGATGGGGCCTTAGCTAGGTAGAAGCAACTTCAGCGACAAAGGCAGACAAAAGGCCAGAGGGTGGGCACAAGCAAACAGGGCCCCAGCCAAGAGGTGAGCATAGTGACATAAGCAGAGAGTAGAAGGGATAGCAAGGGAGCTCAGAGGCTGAGGGGGAGGGAGACTGATGCGCAAATAGGGCATTGTAACCAGCCAGCACCTGCTGTTGAGGCTTTGCCCCACACCCCACCCAACCCAAAGCCACAAGGGCAGCCAAAGAAGTGATACTGCCCTAGCCTGTCACTGATGGGCTCTGCTCCCAACTCCATCTCGCTTTGCTTAGCCTTAAAGGACAGCTGCATAGACCAGTGAGCAGCATCCCAGTCACTGGCAGCCTGGGTCTCTCCCTCAGGCCCACCCCCACCTCCCAGAAGTCCCAGCAACTGAATAATGGGCCTGTCTGGCTGCAGGCCCTGATACTGCACAGAGCAAGGCTAGAGGCATCGACACAGCACAGCTGTCTGCGGTGGCGCCTGCCAGCAAAAGGCCTGCCTCCTCCCCAGCCACTCCCACCACTCTGGGACAGGAGCCCAGGGACCCACTCCCCTCTGGCTGCCCCAAGCAGAGACGTGGTGAAAGGCACAGACAGAAGCAGGAGTGGCATCGGCTTTCCTCAACCCTGCCTTCCTCTGGAGCCTGGGGCACAGGGGAGTATATGCAACCACAAACACACACGCTGGCCACAAGTCAGTCACTTTGATTTGCACAAGGGAGAAGGAGATTCAGAGGAAGTCTGTCTCCATTCCGGGACTGAAGTATCAAGACTCACTTTGGGCCAAGGTTACTCAGGCTGTTGGCTAACAGGCTAGGTACCAGCTAGTGCTGGATTACTTAATAAGCAAGGTAAGTACACATTTACCTGTACTCAGTTACTAGCCTAGTGAACAATTCCACATTTTTTTTCATCACAACAAAGATTCTACTTCGAAGTATGGGTGGCATCGGTCTCTCTCCTACCCCCACAGTGCATTCTACAGAAGAATCAAAGCATCTTTAATCATGTATAATCCCTGACAAGGAGGAAGCACCCAGTGAGCAAAGTAAGTATAGGCTTATTTGTGCTTACTTACTAATCTACAGTGAGCTCTGACAGCCAAGTGGTAAGGAACTGCGCTACCAACCTGAAAGCACATGGTTCAAATCCACCAGCTGCCCTGAAGGAGAAAGAACAGCAATCTCCTTCCATGCGATTTAAAACCTGCTGGAGGGTCTAGCTATGGGTTGGTTCCGACTGGAAGGTACCTAACAACAACTAATCCACAGTGGACAGTTTCATGTGGTTTCCAAGCCACATTTGAATATGAAACTATTCACTACAGAAGCAGCAAGTAAGCACAGGTGAGCCTATGCTTCCTTGCTCACTGGATGCTCTGGCCTGGAAGCAGAGTGGGACAGGCAGAGCTGGCTGACAGAGGCTTTTGTGGGTCACAGCCCCATCTGGACTAATCACACAGAGTAGAAAGAGCCTTGGAATTGGAGGTCAGGTGCTAGTCCCACTCTCTCCAGATTCCCTGGTAACCAGAACTCTAGTTCTCAGTTTCTTCATCTGTAACTTGAGTGGGTTGGATTAAATGATCCTTGAGGTCACCTCAAGCTCCAAGATTTTATCACAGCACTACTGCAGGTGGGGTCCCATGGCCATATGAAGGAGCTGACTGGGACAGAAGGGAGGGCTAGCTACATAGACACACATACATACAAGCACACACAAACACACAAAGCATTCAAGACACTCTCTGAAAAAAGCCTCCCAGCAAAGTTGTGAGGTTCCTGAACATGGCATATTATCCCCTTTTGCAGAAATAGAAACAGGCTCAGGGAAGGTAAGTGGCTCTTTTAGTATTATATAATTTCAAGTTCTAGACCTGAGCCCATGATTCATATACATGTTCCTTTCATTATTCCAGAGTTTTCCCATTTTTAAAGTAAAATTTGAAATATATAATCGATACAAAACTCAAGCTCATTGCTGTTGAGTCAGAACTGACCCCATAGCTGATCCTCCAGCAGGTTTTCAAAGGCAGTAAATCATACAGGAGGAGACTATAGATATACCTAATACACATACACATATAAACAAGTTAGACACACAGATACAGATTATATCTATTTGGGTGTCTTTTTTAACATATGGCAAAGTGGGCTGGATCCTGGCTAGAGAGACATGTGTTCAATCCCCAGCCCTACTACTTTCTAGCTGTGCAGCTTTGGAAAAATTGCTTGTATCCTCTGAGTTTCCATTTCCTCATCTACGTGGACATGAAAAATACCATCTGCTTCCCAGGACTATTGTGAAGGTGACAAAGGACAGTGCCTGCACATTGTGTGACATGACCAGCCAATGTTAGCTATCTCAAAATAGTCAAATAGTGATAAAACCGTATCTACTCTGACTGATAAAGGTTCCAAGGATACGTTGGTAAGAAAACAGAGATCTCTGCCTTCCTGGGAAACCTCTCTTAAGTATGGGCAAATTCTCCTCCCAGGGACCCCAGTGACATCACAGAATGTGCATGCTTGCAGATTCAGGGCCCTATTACCCAATAGTGAACACAGAGGAAAGGTTGCATGGTGCAGGGGCATAGAGAATGGCCTCATCTATAGGTGGGGCAAGAGACAGTCACTGCTCCACAACAGCAGGAACTTTGTTTGTTACTGCTAGATCAGTTTGAAAACTAAAGTGCACCTGATTAGGCACCTGCTCTGCATCTGAAAGCTGACAGTGAATAAGGATGGCAGAAGAATTGATGCGTTTGAACTGTGGCACTGGAGAAGACTGCTAAATATCCCACAGACTGCCAAAAGAACAAACAGATATGTCTTAGAGAAAGTATATCTAGAATGCTCTTTGGAGGCAAAGATGACAAAGCATCATCTCATATACTTTGGGCCTGTTGCCAGGAGAGGCTATTTCTTGGAAAGGGACCTCATGCTTAGAAAGGTGGAGGGTCAGCGAAAGAGAGGAAGACACTCAACGAGATGAATTGGCACCGTGACTACAGCTGTGGGCTCAAATTGTGTCAGAGATGATGAGGACGGCACAGGACAGAACAAGGTTCAGATCTGCTGTTTATAGGGTCGCTATCAGTCATAGTCAACTTGATGGCACCTAACAATAAGGTCTCCAAGAACCTAGTGATGCAGTGAGCTCACATGTTCAGTTAATGCTCACGGAATATGCACTGCTGAGCAACAGGTCTTGGGTCCCAGGGGTGCTACTGCACTGCCCCTCCTGAGCAGGGCCATCCCAAAGGGGCAGGCCCCTCCCAGGGCTCTGTTTATCTGCCCTCCTGAAGCCTAGAGCAGCTGGGCTGGGAGGTGGTGGCTGAGCAGAGACACCTGGCACCAAGGGGTGGGTGTAGGGGGGAGGCCTGGGAGGAGAGGCAAAGCGTTCAACAATGACACAAAAGGAAGAGGTTGAGTGATGGGTCACCCCACCCAGGTGTAATTGAAGTGCAGATGAGAGAGGGAACAGGAGACCAGCAGCAGGTAGCCTGCAGCAGGCCCTGCCCCACCCAATCCTCAGTGACTTATTTCCAGTCACCTGGCAGGAAAACCTGAGGATAGCAACCAATGCCCAACCCTTGGTCTGCATCTTCACTCCATGGGCGCACCTGCCATTCTGGCCTCCTGGAATTATCCAGCTTATCTGACTGAGGAAGACCACATTTATCCAGAGAGGAAGGAACCAGAGGCGCCAAACCCATAGCCAAGTAGCCACATGGTCACTCCGAAAACCATCCTGCCTGAGTGAGGCAATGAGATCCTGGACACCACACGGTGCAGCCCTGTGTCCTGCGCACACCTCCTGCGGGGCACACAGCCCAAGTCTCCCTGCTCCGCCCAAGACCACGCCTGCCAGTTCTGGACGCCAGGTGGAACCCACCAAACTTGCACCGCTTTCGGGCCGCCCCCCTCCAACCCCACCCAGCACCGCCCCTTGGCCCCGCCCCGGCCCTGCCTACCATCCTTCCGGTAGAAGGCAATTTCCACTTTGCGCTCCTCGGCGCCCAGCAAGGCCTGCGCGATCTGCGCGGCGGCGCGGCGCTGCGTGCGCGGCCCGTGCAGGAAGTCACAGGTGCAGGGCCGCTGCATCACCTCAGCCCTCGAGTAGCCACACAGTTCACAGAAGCCGTCGTTGCAGTAGATGACTGCGCAGTTCTCCACCCGAGCGTTGGCGATGATAAACTTGCGGCCTGCGAGGGGTTGAGGGGGGAAAGCGAGTACGTGAGCAGGAGACCCCTACCCCTTCCCTACATTCTGCTGTCACACACAGTTATCCCAGACACCCCGCTCCAGCGGACACAACTGAAAGTGGGGTCCCTAGTTGAGGGCAAGGCCAGCTGTTCCCCGACACAGGTGCCTCTGCAGGGCACAGCCCTTCAAGCGCCCCCTCCACTGCCTGGCCCCTGAGTTGGCTACGTAGCTTCCCCTGGGCAGGCAGCCAGCAGACAGTCGCCCCCTCCGCGCCCGCCCGGGCTGAGGCCAGTTTGGGCGGGTGTCGGCAACGCGCGTGTCAGCAGCCGTGGCAAAGGGATAAACACTGGGCCTGGAGAAGGAGCCTGGGGAGGGCCAGAGATGGCGTCTGGGCGCAGACACAGCCTCAGCTTCAAACAGGCCCCTCTGGCTTCTAATTCTTGAACCCCATAGTTTAAGACCACGGGTGGGGGAGGGCCACTATCATGCCTGGGCTCCCAAGAATCTGTACTTTCCAGGTACTCTTCCTTACCTCCTCCAAGAAGCTGTCTGGGGCTGGAGGAGGAGTGGGTAGGCGGCTAAACAAGATGAGGTTAATTAACATATTAAGTATCCACTCTGTGCTAGTGCCTTATCTCACTTAATACTCTTTAAAATCCATACGGTAGGTATGATATACATAGGGGTTCAAGAGAAATTCAGAAACATGCCCAAGTCTTGCACTTTGTAAATAACATGGCCACATTTGAAACCTCGGGTCTGGCAAAAAAGTGAATGAACAAAGCTGAGTGTCACGGGTAGAAACCCAAGGTCATAGGGAGCATGAAAAGGTCCCTCCAGCGCGGAACATGGACACACCTGCTGCCCAGGGATGGGCCTGAAATGTGACCCCCATGTAAGAAAGCAGGCCCAGAGACAGGGTACTCCCCAAGAATGTGAGGCCTCCTGGGATTTGGGCTTACTGAAGAGAGACACCCAATGGACCAAAGTGAGTTACCCTCTGTTGACACCCCCCCCCAATAAACCAGTGTGAGTTACCCTTGGTTCACCACCACCTGCTTCATATCTGCCTCAAGAGCCAGACTGGCAGCTAAGCAGCAGGCAGGCAGCAGCCCCAGCCTGTGCCCAGGAAGATGCTCCAGGGATAGAAGCTTTTTATACACACAGAAGTTTCCGGCCACTTTGACCTTTAACGCTGGGGCTTTCAGCAGCAGCCAGAACTCTGTCCCCTCACAGTCCCCATGGGCACAGTCCTTAGGCTATAGCTCTGGGCAATTCCAGGGCAATGTCCAGACTACAACAGCAGGAGTTCCCTGGGGCAGGCTGCAGCCAGCAGGATCTGACCTCTCCAGAATTGCTCCCTTCCCCTGGCCTCCAGGAAGATACTGCTGGAAATGGGTCATCTTTAGGTCAGCTCCCCAGACCTTCCAAAATTCACAGTCATCAACCCCAGAATTTAAGCCCCTAGTCACATGAAAAGACACTCTAGCCAAGCTTCTAGATGCACCTCAACCCAAAACAATCCCCAGGGCACCAGTTTTTCTTTGTGGAAGGAAAATTCTCTCTTACCCAAGCCTTACAAGAAAGAGTTTCTAGGAAGGTAAGTCAGCACAACTCCACCCCCTTCACAGAGATCCTGGAATATCAGCACAGAAGAGACCTTAAATATTGCCCCTTGGTTTGTCCACATCTTCACAGATGTGGACACTGAGCTCCAGGGAGGGAAGAGAGTCAAGGTCAGCGGTAGAAGCCAGCTCCTGATCCCCAACCTAGTGTGCTACCCATTGTCTGTACAGCCTCCGTGGAGCTGGTAGAAGGGAAAAAATAAAGCCCCTAGGCCCTACTCTTCCTCAACAGCACCCTTTCCTCCCCTCCCCCTGAGATTCAGACAATGCTGCCTTCAGACTGATCCCCACCTCGCACCCTAGTTACCAGTACATATTGTCCTGTGCTTACAGGGTCAAGTGCAAAGAATGTCACCCTCTCCCAGCTTCCAGGGCCCTTGGCAGTCACACCCGATCCCCACCCCACCCCCTCCTGTGGTCACAGACATGGCACCTTGGATACAGGCACAAGCAAGCAGAGTGAGTGCATATGCCTACACTCAGAACGTGTACACCTAGCCTGGTATACTTTCTAGAAGCCGCCTCTACCAGGTCAACATTAGAAGTGCTGTAGTTCCCATAAGGAGGCTAGGGGACAGTGTCCAGGACAGAAAGACTGACACAGCATAAGGGCACTGGAGCCAGCCTGTGTAACTTGAAAGCCCAGCTTCAGCTTCCCAACACTCACTCACTCCAAGACCCACAATCACTTTGATTTGTCAGAGATATCCCCCTATTGCCCATTCAGGACGAAACTTGTGCATCATAAACCAAGGCCATATATATACTACACACACACACACACACACACACACATTAGGTGTACACACTTAACATGCTACGCTCTCAGGTTTTCATAATACAAACCAGATAGCATATAAAATACACATTGCATGGGTCATGACCATGATCTTATCCTTGCTCTCACACAGCCCTGGCCACATCCAGGCACCCAGAGCTGGGTACACCTGCATAGTAGCATTCCATCTCCCTTCTCCGCAACCTGAAAGTGTCTCTCGCACACACCATCTAAACGGATCCTAGAAGCCTGGAATGAACCTCTCGCCCTTGGCCCCAGCACTAGGCCCCTGGCCCCAGGCCTACAGCCCCCAGAAGCACCAAGCCAAGCTGCAAGCTTTGCCCCCATAGCCTGTAGCCAGCGCCTGCGACCCACCAGCCCTCTTTTGATTTGCCCTAGATGTTGCACACGAGCCCGGGCACGCCCCCCATTCACACTCGGGAAAGCTGGGACCGCCCTCGGGACCCCTTCCCCACCCTGCCCCTCCCCCACTCACTCTGGCCCTCAAACTTGCGGATGATGGTGTCCAGGAAGGTATTCTGCGGCGCGACGTGACCCCTCCGCACCGGCATCCTGAGCCCATGGGCGGGCCGGGCGGGCCCCCACCCACCCCGGCCCGGCCCGGCCCGGCACTAGGCTTCGGGTGTCCCCGCCCGGCCGTGGTACCCGCAACCCACGGCCCAGCTGAGCACCTGAGGGGCCGGGACTGGGCTGAGGGCGCGGGTCCCCGTTCAGCTCCCGGCTCCGGACCGCGGGCCCGGCCTGGAGCCGCCAGAGCTCGGGCCGCTCTGCTTCCCGCACACCTGTCTGCCGGGCCGCGGGGCCCGTTCCTCCGCGTCCCCGCGCCGCGCTCCGCCCGCCCTCCCG